CACAATAAGGGGCTGCAGTAATAAACAGCCTGAAACAGGAAGAAGATAGGACTGCCTTCCAGAGCACTGACAGTTTAAATCTACTCACAGTGTTCAGTAAAGTACACTCATACATTGTACAAAATTGCTATTGTTAAACTGGAGCAGTTCCTCCACGATGGACGTACTACTGCCCAATAAACATTTATCAAAACATTCCTTTACCTTGACATGTACTTGCCCCAAAGTACTGCCTTTTCCAATAAATTAGCTATTATAATAGAGAGGTAAAACTTTTTTCTTGTAAACAATGCTTTCCTATAGCCTTAAAATCAGATCAGAAACTGTTTACTGCTACAAGATAAATAACAAAAGTAGTTTTAGTTACATAATGTGGATGAATATAAACAGAATGTCCAATCACAAGTTTCAGAATGTAAACAAATCACATTATCTCTATGGTTAAAATGAAACCCTTGCTATTATTATCAAAGGGTAAAGGGCAGGAAAGTCCTTCACAACACACATTACTGATAATGGCTTGAAAGACGAGTTTAAACAACAAAGATTGAGAACTCACTCCAATACACACAGACTGTAGACTCCTAAATGAGGAACAGAGGGATGAAAATCCAGAACTGCAATCTAAATAACCTTTTTTTCTGCTTATAAGCAACTACACTTCTTTTAGAAGAGGAAGCTATTCTTCTGCATATAGCTAAGACTTGAATAGCAGGTTGGATAGCTCTGCTTTGGTTTTTGAAATCCAGGAACAAAACAATTCTTAGCATCACTCCCTTTCTAAAGCCATCTAGTAGACATTCTTACTTTCTCCCTCACACACAGGCTGGATGTGGCCCATCACTAGCAGCAGTTTCTGACTGATTTCATGGAACGCAGATGGATGCAATAGTGATATTTTCTATATAAAATCCACTAGTTTACACACTAAGCCAGGAAGAAAATCCAAACCCAGTACTCTGGGCAGAGAAGTTCAAATTCACATGCTGCAGTATACTTCAACTTACCTGGTAACAGTGGTACTAAAGAGGGACCTGTAGAGGAAAGATAAACTCCTCCTTTCCTGCTGGAGCTCTGCCATTTTGTAGTAAGGAATTCAAAGTTCAGGAAAAACAGAAAAAAAAAAGAATATCCTTTCATAGCTTTATTGGCTCAGCACTCGGGAGGGGATATCTTAAGTTCCAATTCTACTCCAAAAACTTCAGACCTATTCTAGCAAGCAATGATGGACATAAAATTCCAAACCCCAAAGCTTCCAGAACACCTGCATGAATGAGGTATGCACTAAAATAGATTGTCTAGCGAGTTTCCTACCTTGCCACTTCTAGCCCTGCGAATCCTAACTCTCTGCAGCACAGTAACAGCACTTTGAAAGGACATGTGGAGACTTTTCCCTCTGTGATCTTTTTCACCTCAGTAATCTTGTAACTTACTGGTTAAAAATCTTCTAAAAGTTGGGAGATAGACTGGAATTCCCTTTCTACAGTTCCCTTTAAGTAATAAAATGAATCCTCATCTTGAAAAAGTGCTTTTACCACTAGTTTATTACAGAAAAGGGGAGCACTAACACTTTATTCTCTTATGTACAATTGCAGAAAATAGGAAAAATAACCATTTGAGGAGGCTCAGAAGTGAACAGATGTATCTTCCTGCTGTCTGATAATAAGGGAACTAAAGAGTTAATCTTAGAAACACAAGCCTGTTACAATGGTATGTAGTAGTGTGTAACTTTGTACCAGTGCATGACCACATCTGGCGTAAAAGTGATAACAAGACCCTTAAATCAAGGACATTGCGCTCATTATCAGGGACTGCACTTCAAGGCAGGAACTCTTAAATCATCACCAAGGACCTTGTTAGGAGAACAGGACCTGAGACTGCTGTCAATCAAGGAAAAGGAAGATGAGAGCTAAAAGTTCAGCAAAAGGACATGGTGATGAAGAAGAGTGGAAGAAGTAAAAGACCACCAGATGTCTCCGAAGACCCCCAAAAGGACTAAAATGGACATAGGGAAATGGGAGTTGCCTATGATAATGAGTTCTGGGAAAATTGTTAATATGTTAATCATCTCTTGGAAGTCTTATGAATATGTATAAAAACTAAAAATATAAGCCTGTAACTAATATAAGCACGGTATGCATGCTAGGTGGAAGGATCCCTCGTGCATCCAGCACTGCTAATAAAGAATACTGAATCACTGCTAAATTTGATGTTTAATTTCTTGGAATCAGTCCACAATCACATACAGACACTATGCTACTTGCTAGTCTGTATATTAATTTTTAATTATATTCCTAATTCTACCCATGCAGTACATGTGAAGTATGAGCACATAACATGGCATTCTTGATTCCACTTGGAGGACAAAACAATTAAAATGTAAATGTCACAATACCCAGCTTGTTAGTGTAGAAGACCTTTCCTGGATCTTACTCGTAATATGAACAGCTACATGAATTTACAGTTTTGGAATAACATAAATCAAAAGACTTTCTTCAGTTCAGGAACAATTTTTTTGGTGACTATTTATTAAGCAACGTATTTCACTAAGTAAATTTTAGATTTAGCCAGAGCTGAGAAAAGTCTTTAATATATGAACTTAATTTCTGTACTTACTACCGGCTATGAAAGCAGACTTAGGAAGAAAACTTTATCCAGCAACTTCCATGAAAAATGGCTTAGTGTAACACTCTTTGCACAAGCAACATCAAAAAATTCTGGAACCTTTACTACAATATTTACAGTCATATATGCATAATTGTAATCTGTTAGACTCTATGCCAAGAGCTGAAGACTCACTGCATGCTTGCACCAAAGGCTATTAATCTGTACCTTTTTGTCTGACCTGGAGATGCTGAGCACGTTGCCGACAACCCTGTGCCTTGTCATGCCGTTAACAAAAAGAATTACCATGTCTTAACTATATTTGCCTGCTGTGCTTTCAACCCTCCAGTCAACTCCTAAGCCTTCCATGGGAACTTCATCGATGATGTCAACCTCTGACAAGTGAGTACTTAATTCTGAAGCTCCATTTAACCAGTTGTTGGGAAAGATAAAAGGGACACCCACTTCTGCACAGACAGAGTAGCAGTGAGATTTTTCCTTACTCTATCCTCATTTTTTGCACCATCACTGGAAATGATTCCAGTGGCTGCCTGTCCTGACTTGGAGCTTTTGCAAAATACAGCCCTGGCACTATCAATCTTCCAGGACCTCTAACAGTTTCACTGCTTCCTACCCAGTCATCAGCAGAACCTGAGGAAGGAGTCAGCACACCATTAACCCTACCTCTGACAGGGCAGCAACGAAACGCTTTGCCCAGATAGGTCAGGGAATCTCTGATGTTGGAGGGTTTCACAGCTTAGCTAGGAAAACCCATGGCTGACCTGATCTAGTGCTAGTGACAGGGCCACCTCAAATGGAAGGTTGGGTTAGGTGATCTCCAGAGGTCCATGCCAAAAAAACATCATTTCTATGTTTCAATGAGTAGCTCCAAAGGCAGCAGATTTACCTGTTTGCTGTCGCTTAATGACAGTATCACATGATTTAACATTCTGTTAATGTTTAGAAAGTTAGAATTGCAACCATAAAAGTTAAAACTCTGTAAGTATTTAAAGGAAAACTTAAATTGTGATTAACCTCATAGCTAGTTATGTTCACAAGTCAAAGCTCCTTTTTTAAATTTATATTTCTCAAACTCCACTGAAATTGCTGATTCTTCTAGACAAAATCAATCGTCGTTTACATATCGAGGTGTAAACAAATATGTGTAAATATGTGTGACTTGAATTTTGTCTAGAAAAGAGGAAACGTCTTTTAAAAAGTAACCAAACTCACTGAATTGTTATAGTCTATTCCATACACCTCTAGAATTAAAAACAAACCAACCAACCAATCTTTAAAACAAAGAGTTTTTTTGGTTGTTTTCGCCTTGTATTTTTCCCACTAAGGTGAAACATGTTTTAGTTTTACTAATAAGGAGAAAGTTTTTAATGTACACAATTTCTACTCTATTTGTTTAAACATGGACTTGTTTGGGTTTTTAAGAGGATGCTTTTACAGATAACATGTCCAGAGAGACTGCTCCAGGAAGACTGTTTCAGCAAAACAAGGGAAATAATGTTTTTCATAACTGTTATCAGAAGAATATATAGAATTTAAAAAAACTTGAGAACACAAGACTTTGCTAACACCTTGAACTGTGCCCAAATAAAGAAAAATACAATTCAGGAGTTTAAGCACAGGTGTGTGCTCATATTTGCTCATCCACTTACATGTTGAACATTTGCATTCTGTAATAGGTGAAGCTTTTTTTATTCCTAAAATCTGACAAAAGTAGACAAATAAAACAACATAAAGCAATTTGAAAGTCCTTTATCCTAGCATTTTCACTCACATACCTCTAAATTCATTAGAAATTGGGACTGTTACTGAAAGTGAAGCTTGCAGATTAATTCCTCTTTGTCTTTGAACTATGAGTTGGAGAACTAATGTTTGTTTCCAGTTTAGTATTCTCCTAGAATGTGTCGAGGCTTTTTATTATTTTTCAAGCTTATTTTAAAAACAAATGTGTTTTCCAGATCTTTGCCATCCTGTGACAGTCACACCACACTGTGCCAGTATATGAAAACACTTTCAAATAACACTACAGCATCATTTGACAGCATTTTGCTAAATGTGAGGTAGTAAGCCTTGCACACAATTCTATAGGCTGATAGTTTAATAGAATGTGCATTGCCAATACAAAACAATAAATTGCGGCACCAAAGCAATATGCTTGGAGGTGAAGCATCACAATTTCCACAGGCACAGACAGTTACCTTCTGATAATACTTCTGTAAAGCCTGAAGGTAATTTCAGCAACCAGCAAACTCCAGATAAAGTTCTAGCAACTCACACACCTTCCTGACATGCTTTACGCTCAGCTCGAACTCGCTACACTTCCTGGACACGGGAGAGTAAATCAATTAACATCCCCGCTGTACTAGCAGCAAACATACCACAGTGTTTTTCATCATGGCTTTTACAGTGAATCCGTCGGAGACCTGCTGCTTGCTCTTCTTCACGTGCCCCGGCGGTTCCTGCTGCTGGGGGCACCAGTCACCTGAGGGCTTTGAGGGGCTTGAGCCCGCTTTCTCCTCTACCATCTCCCCACCAGCGTCCGCGACAGGCAAGCAGCAAACTACAGACTGGAAAAAACAAACAAACAAACAAACAAACATCAACGCCCCGCCCCCCGTAAGTTAGAAAACGCAGCAGGTCTACCTCCGTTCCCTTCCCAACCAGCGACATCCCCACACACACCGCTCCCGCGCATTTCCTGACCCTGACT